GCCAAGGGTGCCTCACCTCCCCAGTTCCTGGTTTACCCGCCAGTCTTGAGTCATTCTAACTTAGTGAATCAAAATGAGGTTTATTCCAAAATCCCTACTAATCTGAGTGAGCATATCTCCTCAAACAGGAGGGAGGTAAGCAGAGGTCTTCTTTGCCTAGTGCATTCTCCCACATGAATGCACTGGTGCTTGGACTTTTGGATGAAAGGCATCATCACTTCTACCTTCCTCTTCTTGCTTATGAATTTAGCTAATCATGTCCTAGAGTTCTGCATTCACACTGCTTTACAAAGTTTAGGAGCCATCAAAAGAAAGTGTTGGCATCTAAAACATGCTACTTATTTCATATGAATACTGTATCATTGCCTTCCCTTAAACTACATTTTTTGCCAGGTTCTATGGAGAGCAATCTTTAGGAGATCAACATTTTCTGTTCAGTTTTAGGAAGTTCATCTGTAGTGTATAAATGATAACTTTCAAATGGTAGAATTTTTTAAAACTATGGTTATAAGAAATGGTTATGCTGGTTTTTTTTTATCATAAGTTTTCTGATCCACTGCTATTTATAAAGTCTGAAACTCTCCCAACAGCCCTCATATCTACACAGCTATTTCCTTTTTGCCTCAATATTCAGCAGACTCAGATTGTTTATCTTTCCTTCAGGCTCCCTCATGTTAGGTATACAGTGTTCTTACCTGAAATTACTGTACTTGCTGAAGAAAACTTATGAAACAAAGTTGTGAGCAGTAACTCTAAAACAGAGTTAATATTTTCAAGGCTCTCCATCGTGTCCAGATTCTTGAACACTAAATTCACTAAAATTTAGCCAGTTTGTAGTTCTCCTGCCAAATGACAAAACAGAATGCATGCTTCCTACCTGGACATGTTTGTACTTCAATCAAAATGCAAACTCCATCTGAATACCATGGTGATGCATACTTCATTGGTGTTAATATTGTGAGGCAGACAAGTCAGTCATTTGCTGTGCAACATTTCAGGTGTTCTAAACAGCTTGACTGAAAATCAGTGGGGTGGAGGTATCAGAAAATCATATAAAGAAAATAATTTCTCATTTTATCCTGTACATTTGAATGGTAGTATTAACATGACATAAAATGTGGAAGGAATGTCTGTAAGTAATGGATTTTTAACAACATGTCATTTCTTAAAGATTAAACTTACATTTGGCTTCTTAGAGGTATTTAGCCTAGTTTACTGAGGAAAGGAGATTTGTGCAGTCATAGCGTATATGCGCCCCATTAATAGGATGAGCACAAAGGCGGATTTAAGACAAATTTGATAAAAGATACACCTTTAAAGTTATTAAGAGTTTTAAAATTTTGTAAAAATAACTGCTGGGTAGAGAGCGCCCATACTGAGAGCTAGAACGAAGAAACATTCTGTCCAGGAGAGAGGTGAGAAATGCCACAACTGTGTCTTCCATCACAGAATCATAGAATAGTTAGGGTTGGCAAGGACCTTAAGATCATCTAGTTCCAACCCTACTGCCATAGGCAGGGACACATCACACTAAACCATGCCACCCAAGGCTCTGTCCAACCTGGCCTTGAACACTGCCAGGGATGGAGCATTCACAACTTCCGTGGGCAACCCATTCCAGTGCCTCACCACCCTAACAGTAAAGGACTTCTTCCTTATATCCAATCTAAACTTCCCCTGTTTAAGTTTTAACCTATTTGCAAGCAAGAGCCAGGTTTCATTTGTTGTGATGCTTGCTGACCTGAGTTAACAAAGGGAAAGTACTGTTATTATCCCAGTAATTCCTGGACTCCGAGGATATGCCAAGGATGGCACATGAGCAGTCAGAGTCTGAGTTGGCTCTTGAAGCACAGCTAGAGTCCCATTGACAGTGTATGTCGTTCTATCAGCTGTGACATTTACTAGCAGTTTATCACAAACAGAATTATTCTGCTGACTTGTGTATTATCTTTCTGCATCCTGCAAGTATTTTTTAAATAATAATTAGTCTTAATTCTCAAACTAGAATTTACAGCATATGGAAGAGAGATGGAAGATACCACTTCTGTGCTAGCCTCACTTCAAGTTGATTATCTTTGTTCTCTTTCCTTTTTTTCATTTCCCATAGCACTCCATTTCCTCTTAATATACCCTGTCATTGTCCCATTGTGTAAGTGCATAAAAATAGTGAAAATATCCATTAATTTCTCACTTCAGATTCTGTGTCTGGCCAGTGTTACTTTTCATGCCAACTAAAGATGATAATTTCTGTGGTATAGACCCACATAATGGGCTGGTAGCAATAGAGACCAGCATGGCACAAGAGCCTGTAGCAACAAAGGATTGTAGAGCTAAACCTTAAATTACAGAGAGAGTTACAGGAGAGTGAAGTTATGACAGATGGTTTTTTGATCTTTTGAGTGATGATATACAGGGATAAATTGGAATTTTGTGATTAACAGTGTTGCATTGGTACCAGCTGAAAATTTCTGTGGCCTGGGACCACAGAAATGCCATTCTGATGTAACAACAGCTGAAAAATAAATCTAATTGTATGAACAAGCAGTATTAAATGATAAATAACAATGCTGTGGCAACTGAAAACATCCTAACAGGCAATACAAGTAAGCAGAGGCTGCAGAGAATTGTTTCAGGGATCTTGAGCATAACATTCTGCAGCCCACGGATTACTCAGACCTGGTTTTATATGCTTGCAGCAGATATTTGCAGGGTGATTTCCTTAACTGTGCTGACATGTTAGTACAAATTTATGTGCAGTACAGAAATAATTTTTCTAGGCGTTAAATGTCTAGCAAGACATCGAAGCCCTAAACAGTTGGTGTTTTGTAGTTAATTTCATTGTCACAGGCAAAAGACCTCAGACGAGTAGTTTTGTCTAGTGTCCCACTTCCAATATATGGTTTCACTGAGAAGAATCAGTCAACTGCTCTGCTTTTATTTAGACAGGTGGAGTACAGGTATTGGACTTCTACAACGAACAGATGCTTATCTGAATTTGACAGAATTTTTTTAAGCTGTATTTTTTCATGTTTTCTAAGCTCATGTGGACACTGTGCATACCCTTAACTGCAAGACAGGATTACTCACCAGATCTGCCAGTCCCCAGAATTAGTTTTTGAAAAGGCCATGTATGTACAAGTCAGTAAAAAACAGCTCATACCTTTGAAGGTTCGAGACAGTTTAATATTTTACTTTTCAGGAAAGAGAATTATGTAATCTCAGGAAACAGTGGTATGTAGAGACTAGTGATATGTAAAGGCAACCTCCTGTTCAGAATTATTATTTTAGAGAAGACTTTCACATAGTGCTGCAACTTCAGTTACCAGCATTGACAAAAGGTTAATTTGGAAATACAATAGTCTTCTGAAAGTTAACCATGTGGAATGGACTTATACATTTAACAACACATTTTGCTGCTTTCAGTATATGCTATGTGGACTAAAGCTGCAACTTTCAGTTTGATGAAATCCAAGTTAGCTATAAAATGCCAATACCCTAACAAAATATATACTAAATGCACCTGCAAAAGGTGATGCATTAATTATAAACAGTCTCTAGTGGCTTAAGCTACAGGACTGCTCTTTTAGTTCAGTAGCAAAGCACTCACTTGGGAAACTTGCAGTATAATTTTAGAGCAGCTTCTCAGATGAGTTTTCTATTTCAACAGCTAATTGAAAGCAATTTGCAGAAGCAGCCACGTTCATTCACATTGTTCATCACTTGCTGATCTAGAATAGGGGAAGAGATCCTGCTCCCAAGGAATCATATATCTAGCTAATTCATGTAGAGTATTTTCAATTTATTGTTATTTTGGAGAGGAATTAAATGTATCCACCTGATAAACTTACCCTTTTAAACATCAGAAATATTTAAAACAATATACTTGCAAAGTCCAAACCAGATATTCTTGTGTCCCTTGACAGAACATAGCTTCCTCGCCATATATAAATCCAATATTGCACTAATTGGATTAAAACAAATAAATTAAATTTTACTAATTTCTACTGTAGCATATTAAAGTGAATTTAAGTAAGAAAAGTTTCTGCAGTGTCTTCTCCCAGATATTTACTGTTTTGGTTGCATTTCAGTAATTTTCCTTTAAAAGTGACACTGATCATAGATGGCTAACATTGCTCTGAAATCTTCAATAGCATTGTAAATCAGAAGCCAGCTAAACTTACTGAAAAATCTTATGGAAAAAGCAGAAACTTGATAAATTAAAATCCTGTCTGAAGTGGAGTGAGTGAAGCAACTAAATTAAGCTACTAGAAATTAAGGCAGATTCAGAATCGCAATAGTTCTGATGACATCAATCTTGAATTATGTTTTTCTTTTATGAACTATTCCATATAGATGTAGGCCAAAGCATTTTCAGAAATTTTCGTGGTGAAAACCCCACAATTCAGTAATCTTTCTGGCTAACTACTTTTTTCATCAGTCCTAAAGAAGTCAGGCATCTGTAGGTAGCACACTGCAACTTGATTCCATTTCCCAATTCCCAGTAGTTAACAATCAATGCTAAGAACACCCTGCACCCGATTTCCACACTTTTGTGAAAAACAGTGTCTTGATTAGACTTCATGATCCTTGGGCAGTGTGGTCAAGGATGAGGTGTCGCTGCCCATGGCTGGGGGGTAGGAACTAGATAATTTTAAGGTCCTATCCAACCCAAAGCATTCTGTGATTCGAGAAATACTTTAATTCTTTCACCATTTTCAAGAAAACCACCTCTCCAATGCAAACATTAGGCTTGGTTCCTGATTACTCTTGTTGGACTCTCTTGGAAAGCTTATTGAGAAAGTGAGTGTATGAGAACTTTAAGGAACACTTTTTGAAATAAGTTGTCTTCTTGACTAGTGGAAGGGTTAGATGCTATCCTGGCTGCATAGAGGTCAGCTGGACACAACCTCAAAATGAGGCTGAAGAACACACTGAGGAAGAAGGGCCTCATTTAATGAGGGAAAAAGGCTTAAAAATGGCCTTGTGTTTTTTGTCTGTAGTGATCAAGATACAGAAGAATAAGAAATGGCTGTATTTCTGGAAGCTAGAGCACAGCAGATAGCTGGTCTGTGACAGAACCTAACAGAGGTGCGGGAAGATATACAAGATGAAAATCAGCTGCTGCAGCAGCAGTCCCAGATGGACTGTTACAGTTTACAGAGCAATCAGGACTATAGGAACCAGTGACTGACACCCTGCCACTGACCTAATCTTCTGTGGAGCTGAGAACAACTGGCAGCAGAAAATAAGGTGGGTAGTTCATTGTTGATTAGGTAGTGCTCTTGCTTTTGCTACACGAGATGAACCATGTATTTCCCTTTGCTTCAGCAACTCACAAATAACTTCATGTTCTTTTTTACCAATATATGATGTTACATATTCTTAATGCAGCTTACCTCTCTGGTTGCTGCCAGTTTATTTCTGTCGTATGAGTAACTTTGTTGGTCTCACCAGAAAATCTGACTTAGTCATGAACTTCCCCTTCCCACAGCTGGGTTAACATTGGTGGAGCTTTATCTGTAACACAACCCTAAGTACATTGCAGGCTCTGCATATCTGCTTATGAGCAGTGACTGTTTTGGGCTGCTGTTCTATTTTTATATCTTGCTTATATCAAAATACCACACTGATTTGCCACATTGTTGAAGTGCCCAATAAAATTTTAAATTCAACTATTGCAACCATACCACCAACCTAGAATGAGCTCTTTCAGAGGGGAAAGCTTACCTTACGAGCCATAAAGTACTTGTCCATCTTTTTCATTCCATCACCTTGTAAACAAAAATCTCTGTTTCTTACACTCTTTTCAAAACCATCAATGCCAAGTGAATAATCTAGGAGGCTTTCCACCCTGTGTTCTTCAACTAACAGGTATTTTATAATCTTCATCCAGTGGTTTACCATATAAAAAAAAAGGTTGCACTACATGATTCTTAAAGACTTTACTGTTTTGTACTATTCCATTTCAAATTAGAATATTTTGTTATATACCTTTGGCCGAGTCTGACCTTCCTCTGAGAACATTAGGAAAGTCTGTTGAGAATGGTGAGCAAAGAACCCAGAATACTCTGAGGGGTGTTACAATCTGCAAGAAAAATACTGCATATAGTAAAATACTAAATCATAAACGTCCTTTATGTTGGTGAACACCAACCAAAATCTAAATGGTCTTCAATTTTAGGGTGTAATCAAACCGATCATTTTGTACCAGTATATCTTGGAACAATAAGTGGACTTTAATAAAAAGAAAATGGAGAAAGACTTTTTTCATGGGTGTTCATGTATAAAGAACAAAAAAGACTGTGTGGAGATCTTGAGAATACCACTTGCAGACCTATGACTGCATCAGGAATTCAATCCCATCTGTATGCTCTAAGACAAAGAGACTAAGGTCTCTTTGCTACAGGTACATTTTATATTTTACAATACTAAGGAGGATAACAATACAGTGTGCAACAAGGGCACATTCCCATTAAATATTTAGAATTCTGTCATATGTCATAATAACAACATAGAAGTAACAAATGACAACAACTCCATGCTGATGAAAACTACTAATAAAGTATTAAAAGCTGTTAAGAGGAAGCCATTGCTTGAAAACAACTAGAGGGAGAAAAAGGATGCACTTGCAATAATTTCTAAATATTTGTTCCCCTTTGTTTTTTGGTTTCCTATTGCAGTGTTAGGAAAAGAGCAGAAATTCCTGAATGCTAAACTCTCCTTAATATTAAAAAAATATAATAATTGATCTCTCTCATGTTCTCTCATCTATAAAATTGAAATATTACTGCTTTTATAGGTTCAGGGTGGTCTTCATCAGAAGTGATAAACCTTAGTACAACCCCTTAGTTTGCAGTGATGCCCCTTAGGTTTTGCACTGAGTCAGAGCCTGACACAAATAAGAGCAGCTCTAATGCTATTCCATTTGAAGCAATGGGATACAACTCTTTGGCTCTGTAGCTGTTACCACGTCATGAGATTGGAACTCTTCATAACAAATTGGACAGTACTAACAGTGAGAGCTACATCCCCAGCAGGCTCTGGCAAACAATGTATTTGAGCTTTTCAGACAGTTTTTAAAGGTTTAGCCAGAGATCCTGACAAGCAATACAGAGCTGCAAAGCTATGTCCACTGTTTGGCAGCACCTACATGGGAGAAAGGGAGCAGGATCTGAAAGACGTGCAGGAATGTCAGTGAACTCTCCACCATGTCAGCCCTTCAAGATTTGTTTGTTCTGTGCAGTCAGATCAGAGCAACGCAGACAGGCTAAGGCTGGGTTTCACAAGTATTGAGTAATACTGGTTATAACTTTGGATGACAAAATCTTGTCCATTTTCTGTTTCTGAAGAAAATAGATACAGAAGCACTAGCAAACACATGACTACTTTCTAGGTAATCTTTCTACTAGCAGATAGTTTTTATTGTGAGATATCCAATGGATTTTACACTGTGTGAACAAGTTGTGGACAATGGACAAATTTCGTCCATACTTTACTTCTTTGACTTCTTCAATCTGGAATACCAGTATTTCCAGATTAGCATTTTGTATCTGAACTTTAGCAAAAGAACTAAAACCAGTTAAGATCCTTTATATTAAATAATGAATTATACCCAGTGTGAATTTGATGTGCTGCTGCTGCACAGAGATGTCTACAAGTAATGACTCATTGAATACTATCCATAACACATTTTTCTATCATATTCCTTAGTCTGCATATGTAGATGGTGTGGATTTCTATTTAGAGTATTTTTTTTATGTTCACTTGATTTGCTTAATATGAGAGAAACTATTTTTAAATTTAAGATTTGCTGAATAGGCTCTAAATCTCTTACACTCTCAACCAAAAAAACTGATAGTCTTAGATACTCATGGCATGTTAAATAGCTGTTAGATTATGGTCCTCAGGGACAAGCCAAGACATCCTCTCCTTAGCAATATGTTAATGTCCCACAAGCTTTTTGAGTAGTGTAAGAATTTCAAATACCTACTCTCAGCATTTGATCTGTTGATTGATCTGGTTATGCCTCTGAGTGGCATCAGACTGATCAAATATAGCGATGGAAGATTTATAAATGCTTGTGTAACATAGCAAAAAGACTTCCTAAGAAACAGGCTAAATCTTTGGGCCAGCATAGGCAAAGCTCCAATAATATGGCCGAGAAACCGCCAATTAGTTTAGTTACTAATCAACTGTATGCTGTTAGTTGTAGGTGCTAAAAACAGAACTCCTGCTAGAAAAAAAACTAGATGAGAAACACTAATGCAGCACAGAGCCTGTTTTCAAAGTAGGTGTTTCAAAATATCTTCAAGATATGTTGTATCTTCCTTTATCACCTGCTTAATGCAAGATAGAACCGAGTGTTTCACGCTGGGATTTATAATCTCTGTGGACCGTACCATGGTATCAAAGATTAAGTCAGCTACCATCTGCTCCATTTTATGCAAAATGGATGTGGCCCTTGAACTTCTGGCAGTTTTCCAATTCAATCCTCCATGCAGATTTCTAACACTTCTGCTTTACAGGATATCCTATTTTCAGCTGAGACAGTAAAATTTTACTGTTCCTAGTCAACTATCTGTTGACCACGTGGACTGTGACACGGTGGGGCAGAAAGGTATCTACTCTTGGCATTTTTTTAAACACTTAGGAGAATGTCCTGAAACATACATATGCACACTTTCATTATAATGAAATAAATTCTTTCTTTACCACCAGGTTTTTGCAGGTGTTACAGGACTGCTTTGTTATTAGGTTTTACTCTTTTAACCTTTGATTATTATTTTTTTTTTAATATACAAATGCTGTTGCACTGTTAACTTAAAGACTAAAGGCTTAAAAAGATGATTAATGTACAATTCAAGCAAGAAGCCTGATGCAAGCAAACATTTTAGCAAAGTCAGCCATATCATTGCAGTGAACGAATTTTCTAATTTTGATTTTATGGAAGACTTGCAGAATTTCAGTTATTTTTCAAGATATCACTCAACTTCAATAATGTGAAAGTTGAATTGTCAATATCTCTTAAAAATCTTAGTTAGGCAGTTATATTTTCCTATTTGTCTTCATGCTGACATTTTATTACCTGAGGCTGAGGTAATACTTTGTAGTTACTGTTAGAAAGAAGCTTGTGGTATATATATATCTCTTCAAAGATTCCAGATGTGGCAGAATGCTGTGGCTCTCTGCTCAGAATGTACTGCAAATTAAAATTGTGTTTGTTCCATTTCAAGTACATGAAACATGCTATTGGCCTTTGATAGCATATAGAAAAATAACTTGTGCTTGGTTTTGCATTTGTTACAAATAAGCAATAGATTATTTTTCCAAAACTCACATGCTGATCTGTCTGTAATACACAGTCTTTTATTCTAAAATGTTGGAGCAGAACATGAAGTATAACTCCAAAAAGGCATAATTCTTTAAAATTATGTTTTTGAATTTTATTACTTACTATCAGGAAAGACAGGAATTAAGAATACTAAGCATACAAAGGTGAAATTAATTCACCTTTTGAACCCTTGATGTGCACATATTTAGGATTTGATCCTAGTAGTCCTAAACAGTTTATCAAATCCAGGGGCCCATTCGTATTCAGATAAAGTCAGTGATAGCCGGGGTTTCTTATCTTCAAAGGAGGGAACTCAGAATCTCAATACAAAGAAAAACTCCATACACCTGATAAGAACTGTAAATCTTCCCTTTGAAGACTGACACTATGAAGGATTTCTGCTTAGAAAAGCCAGAGCAATATTTTTAAGTAACAGTGTCTGGACTTAGATGTCACACCCTAAAAAATGCAAATATTTTGATGAGTATGCTAGAAAGTAGAATTTATGGGAACTAAAGCAGTTACTATAGCAGGCTCAACTAGAACAGTAGCAATGCTGGAAGTGGCAGTCTAAACAGAACTCCCATGGTTACTGGCATTTTCAATTTGTTGTCATTTCACTCTCATCATAGAGGCCTTTCTGTCACAGTGACTACTGATAAAAGAGCCCACAGCACTCCTGCAATAGTGACTCCTGGTTTGAAGGACTGATGGCTTTTTAAAGACATTTGGAGTTTAGCTCCGTATGATGGATTTCAGCATGATGCCAAGATTTTAATTTTGGAGTGCATTAAACAAAAAACGCAACCAAATAAAGCAAAGTATTAGCTATACTACAGGTATTTCCCCTCTTTTCAATTTTTTTTTGCAGAACAGTTACTTTTCAGACTATGATCCAAACTGACAACCAAAATTCTAA